TCACTATGTTGTTCAGGCGGCCCTTGAACTCACTATGTAGCTCAGGCTGGCCTCAAACTCAAGGCGATCCTCCTGTCTCAACAGAGTGAAAAGAGAGAATGGGAAAAAAATTTTCCTAGCTACTCCTTAGACAAAGGATTAATACCTAGAATATATAAAAATGCAAAAAAATTAGTCTCCCAAGTTTAAAGACCCAATTAAAAATGGGCATCTGACAAGTCATAATAGCTAAATCTTGGAAACAGCCCAAATGCCCATCAATGGATGAATGGATAAAGAAGACGTGGGGGTTTTTTTATACAATGGAGTACTATTCTGTCATAAAAAAGGATGAGCTTGAGACATTTATAGCTAAATGGATGCACATTGAGACCATACTCTTAAGTGAAATAAATCAAACACACATGTTTAAATACATTGTTTCTCTAGTGTGAGAAATCGAAAGTGGAAATAAGGACTAAAATGTACAATAGACATTGGGGAATGGGAAAAAAAATGTTCAAATGAGAAGGGGAACAAGGGAGGGGGAGAGGGAAAGGAAAGAAGGGACAAAAAAAGAGAGAAAATTAAATGGAAAAATGGAAACAAAGCTTTTGTACAAAGGGAGGGGGAAATGGGGTAAAAAAAGAAGCAAAATGTATCATGTACTGGTACAAATTCCCTATGATGAATGTTATCATTATGCATATCTAAAATGTACCAATAAATGTTTTTCTAATAAAATGGGCATCTGAAATGAATAGACACTTCTCAGATGAAGAATTACAGATGGCCAATAAATACATGAAAAAATATTCAACATCAGTGGCCATTCCAGAGATGCAAATGAAAACAAGGCTGAGATTCCACCTCACCCCAGAAAGAATGGCTGCTATCATGAAATCAACCAATAACAAATGCTGGAGAGGCTGTGAGGGAGAGGGGCCCCTCATTGTTTTTTGGTTTTTTGGGGGGGGGGGGTTTCCCAGTACCAGGGATCAAACTCAGGACCTTGCACTTGTGAGGCAGGCGTGGTGCCACTGAGCTAAATCCTGGCCCTCCTTCCTCATTGCTGATGGGAACATAAACTGGTACAACCACTATGGAAATCAGTATGGAGATTCCTCAAAAACTAAAACTAGAAATTCCATTTGACCCAGCTATTCCCCTTCTAGGTATCTTCCCAATAAGTTAAAGCTATTATATTAAAGTGATGCACGCATACCTATGTTCAAAGCAGCACAACTCATAATAGCTAAATCTTTGAAGTAGCCTATATATCCATCAATAGATGAATGGATAAAGAAAATGTGGTATTTATACACAATAGAATACTGCTCTGCAAACTGCAGTCATTTGTAGGAAAATAGGTACACCTTGAGACCATAATGTTCAGTAAAATAAAACAGACACATAGTTTAAAAATCACATGGTTGGGGTCGGGGATTTGGCTCAGTGGTTTCGCCCCCTGCTGCGCAAGTGGAAGGATCTGAGTTCGATCCCCAGCACCAAAAAAAAAAAAAAAAATCACATGGTTTCTCTTATATGAGAAACCCAATATACAAATAATATAAAGTACAAAATAAAAGACAATAGAGGAGCTGCCTGACTCGCAAGCACAAGGTCCTGAGTTCAATCCCCTGTACAAAAAAAAAAAAAAAATAGAGGAAAAAGAGAGAAACGTTATAATAATCTAGTATGGACAATGTACCTGAAAGTACACTTTGATTTAGTATAGTTGTTTTATGTGTTTTACATATTTTTGGTCTGTTAATCTGGCTGTTAATCTGTTTATGATAATTAACTTGATAAATAATAAATAAATAAATCTGACTTTAGATGTCTTGATTACTTTCCTATTGCTGAGACAAAATACCTGATACTCACAAGTTAAAAGAGGAGAGGTTTATTTTGGTTCAGTTTGTAGAGATTTCAGTCCATAGTCAGCTGGTTCCAAGGCAGGGTGGCATGCAGGGGCCTGGCAGAGGAGAAAGAGCTCATGGCACAACAAGCAGGAAGCATCAAGGGCCCAAGGCAGCAAAGATATATTCTCATTCCCTTCCCCCTTATAAAGACTCTCCAGGCCACACCCACAGTGATCCACCTTCTCTCACCAGGCTTCACCTCCTAGCACCATGGAACCCAGCTACCATATAAACCCATCAGTGCACTAATCCAGTATCACACCCATCGCTTCTGGCCTTTTGGCTAAAATCAAGGGCAGTATCACACCCATGATCCAAACACCTCCCAAAAGCCCCACCTATGAGCACATGAGGCTCTGGGGGAACATCTAGATATATGCCATAACACTATCAAAAAAATGTAAAAAGAAAAAGCCAGGGTGCAGGGGAAGGGGAAATAAAAAGAATTGAGATGTGTTATGTACATGTACCAATTCTGCACAAGGAATGTAATCATATACTGCAGACATGTACCAATAAACCATGTACTAACAAAAATTTTAAATTTTTAAAAAATGTCTCTTCTAGCAGGGCATGGCGGTGCATATCTATAATCGTAGCACTACAGGAGACTGAAGCTGTAGGATGGCAAGTTTGAGCCCAAGCTGGGCAACTTAGTGAAACTCTATCTCACAAAAATAAATATAAAAAGGGGCTGGGGATGTAGTCAGTGTGAAGAGCTTGGGTCCAATCACCAGTACCGCAAATCAATCAATCAATCAATCAATCATTCCCTTCTCTTCTGAACTGCCAGTAGCATTTAGTTTTGATAACGTCCTTAGGACAAGGCCAAGGGCTTGAAACATCTGGCAGCTGCCACACTAGACAGTGGCCTGGGCCTCACATGAGCAGGAGCACCTTGGAATCTCTACTTCCGCACCCAGACTCACCTTTACCCTGGCCCCACGTGCTTGCTGAGCGCGGCCATGCCAGGCACCGTCAGGACACCTACGTTTTGGATGGAGCACCATATTGGAGAACTGTTGAACTGCATATTTGCAGGTGTTTATTAGGAAAAAACACAGCTTTGTACTATGCATCATGGAAATGGAAACAGCACAGCTCTCCTGTGACCAGAACCTTGGCTTCCTAGACTATGTCCCCTTGACTGAACAGGGAGAGTGGGCCACAAACCTTGCTCCTATCACTGCAGATCCAGGATCCTGGCCCATGTCCATGAGGCCCTTAATAAGCAACTGCTCGGGCTGGGGATTTAGCTCAGTGGTTTTGCCGCCTGCTGCGCAAGTGCAAGGACCGGAGTTCGATCCCCAGTACCAAAAAAAGCAACTGCTCAACTGAAAAAGAGGACTGTCCGTGGTAGGAGTGGCTGCTAAAAACGCGGGTAAACCTGCTGCAGAAGAAGAAGAAGAAGAGGAAGAGGAAGAGGAAGAAGAAGAAAGAAAGAAATTGTCATTCAGTGGGCAAGAACCTGAGGAGAAAAAAATTGTTTTAATCAAGTTATGCAAAAAACAAAAGAGTGGGAAACCCTGGGAGATGCCCTTTGCCTCCCCTCTAACACCCCATGACCCTGCCCCAAAGGCTAAGCCAAGGCAGGACTACCTAGGACGAGGTCCCAGCCTTGGAGGTCGGTGGGGAGCAGCAAACCTGCACTTCGGTGAGCACACAGCGATCCACCCCAGAGGCATGTCTGAGGCGCGGGCGCCAGGTGGCGCCCTGACCACGCCTGGGCGGACACCGGTTCTCAGCTCCAGCGCTTCGGACGCCAGACGCCCCCAACCCGCCGGGGCGGAATCGTCTGGAGCACGCGCACCTCGAAATCCCGAAGGCCAACTTCAACAGGGGTGCGCTCGCTTTGCCCCGGAGCCCTAGCAAGGGGCCCTAGGTGCGGGGAGGACACGGAAATGGTGTTCGCCTCCGCCTTCTGACCTCTTAGCCCCTCACCTCCTACAGGGAGAGGGGCAGAGATGAAACCGTTGGTGAGCCCGGGGGAACCAAGTCCCTCCGAAAGGGAAAGGTCTTTCCCTTTAAAAAGCAGGATTTTGGCGCGCGGGGGGGGGGGGGGGGGGTTGTTGAGGGGCGGTACTGGGAATTGAACCCAGACCTTCTGCACGGACCGACATCCGCAGCCCTTTTTAATTTTTTGTTTTTGAGTCAAGGTCTCGCTAAATTGCCCAGGCTGAACTCCAATTTGCCATCCTCCTGCCTCTGCCTCCCAGTAGCCTGGGAATACAAGCGTGTGCCAGCACGCTGGTACTGCGAACGACTCCATTGGGAGAAGGCTCCAGAACCCCATCTTTCCTCTCCTGTCCTCACCGGCCTCGTCCAGCGTCCGCCCTCCCCCATACTTCCTTCCTCTTTCCGCCTGGGGCGAAAGCAGAAGTGTCCGAAAGCGCAAAGGAACTGCGGGGGAGCTTGGGGTTCCCGCGCGCGGAGAGAGGGCTGCCGGGCGCCCGCGGGCCCGCCAGGGGGCGCTGCGGGGCGGACGTGCGCTTAGCTGCTCAGACCCGGACTCTCCCGCGGATCCTCGCAGAAAGCCCAGGACAGCGACGCAGTTGTTGGAGGGAAGAGCAGGAAACGTAAGGAACGCTTCAAACACGTGTGGAGTGAGTGGGTTTGGGAGGCAGGCTGGTACACGGCGCGGTGCCCGTGTTCCCTAATCTGCGCCCCTGCCTCTTCACCCACCCAGCCAGCCGTCCCTTCAGTCAGCACCAGCTGCTCCAGGCGAGATCTTTGCCCTGCATCCTGCGTGCAGAAATGCAAAAGACCGGCGGGCATGTTGGCGCACGCCTGTACTCCCAGCACTCTGGGAGGCTGAGGCAGAAGAATTGTAAATTGAGGTCCAGCCCAGCAACTTAGTGAGACTGTGTCTTAAGTTTTTAAAATAACGAAAGAGCTGAGGAGAAAGACAGAGACGGAGGGAGTAACCGTGGATACCCTTTGCTCCAAATGCCCCAGGCTGAGGCTCAGGCGGCGCCTCAAAGTCGGGCTCAGGATTTAGGACTGGAGCCAGCCTGCGGGATCCGGCTCCAGCCCCATCATTTCCAGCTCTGGAAACCTGGAAATGCCTCTAAGCTATGTGCCTCCACTTTCTTGTCTGTAAAATTAAACTACTAATAATCTAACTCGTAGGGGATTTGAGAAAGTATACTGCAAAGGTAAAATACGTAGAACAGGGCCTGGCTCAGCAGGCACTCCGTGTGCTAGCTGCTGTTACCCCGAGTCGCTGGCTGCAGGATGTGTGGCTTGAGTGGCCTGCTCCCCGGAAAGATAGTGAGATGATCTGCAGAGCCCACACTGGAATGGGCTCAGTAAAGTCCCAGCAATAGGGAAATGGCTCATCAGATCATAATGCAGCCGTACGATAGAGCCCGAGACCCCTGTCTGCAGTGAGACCAAATGTCAGGCAAATCCTCTGAACACTGGGAGTGTGGCCTAAGGAGACTGTGGAGGACCCCCTCTGGGGCCACAGTTTCTCCCAGGAGAGCAGCTTGAGCGGCTCTGTGAATGGTCAGTCAGTGTCAACCACAACTTGTACATGCATGCATCCTTTGACCCTTCAAAAGACTCATAAATGAGGTTTGTGGCAGCATTGTCAAAGGCAGAGACACTGTCTCAAAAAAAAAAAAAAATCATTCCTGCTAATAATTTGCTAGGTAAGCATTTTCCTAATAACTTTTTGTATCCTCACAATATCCTTAAGGGATAAATACTATTATTTTTCCCCATGTTACGTCTCTGGAAATAGAGGCATAGACAGCTTTAATAACTTACCCAAATTATATGGCATAAAATGGCCTAGTCAGGATGGATGCAAGCTGGCTGCAGACCCCAGCACAGTGAGGGAAGCTGAATTGGAATAAAGAGTTTCATGAGCCTCATGAAAGGAGGGAAGGGAGGCTGGAGGGAATCTTGGATCATAGTAAATTATCCCAACCCCACTGCTTAGGACATTTGTAGAGGCAAGAGGATTACTGTGAGTTCAAGGCCAACCTGGGCTACACAGTAAGACCTTGTTTCAAAACAAATGAACAGAAAAAAGCCCAGCACATTGTAAGTTGCTTGATAAAAGCCAAAAATATATATAAGTAAAAACAGCTGAGAGTGAACCAAAACAGATGCTGACAACATGAGGAGAGCTAGAGGCTGTTAGATGGTGAGGGAGGAGAGTCACAACACTCCATGTATCTAATTGCAAAGAAGGAAAATGCTTCTGCAGTGGAAGGATGTGCATCAGCTTTGAAATAATTCCTACTGAGGAAAAAAATCCAAATCTAATTGAAGCTGTAGAGTTGTACAGGACATGAAGGAAGAAATTAGATAACAGTGTCAAGAAATGATCAGCCAAATCCTGAATGCACATTCTAAAACTGTCCTTGTCTCCTCAAAACTTCTGTGAGCTAAAAAAGAAAACTTCTGTGAGCTGAAATAAAGCAGGCTGGGTGGAGTGGTTATCTGTCCCACACAGTCACGCAGGAACACAGACTTCTCCCAGCCGTGAAGCTCCCATTGTCATCAAGCAATGCCACCAAGGAAGGGGAAGGGACACCCGGGATCCGGCAGGATGGCTTTTAATAGCCAGGCCTGAAAGTGGTAGGCATCAGCTTTCACTTACATTTCCTTGGCCATAACTTCATATTGTCCCTTCAAGAGAGCTGGAAAGCCAGATGTGGTGATGCTCACCTGTAATCCCAACACTTGGAAGGCTGAGTCAGAAGGATTGCCATGAGTCCAAGGCCAGCCTAGCTAGATAGCAAGATCTTGTTGCAAAAAAATAAATAAATAAAATTTATTAAAGAAAAAAATGAAAAAGGGCCACAAATGTAGCTCAGTGTGAAGGCCCTGGGTTCAATCCTCAGTCCAAGAAATGGGGCCTGGCTGAAATCTTGGGAGAACAAAGAAAGCCACTCTCCCCAGTGCACCACTTCCCTGCACTTTGCCAAGCGACCCTGAGCCATGTACCCTCAGTCCCATGCCCTTCCTCCTTGTGAGTTGGGCCATCAGCCCTGCATCTTCCTTTTTGCCCTCTTCCTGCACACCCAGTCAATCCCCAAATACCAGCTTTCCACCCTCTGCATCTGTCTAAAGGCCTTCATCTCTGGCATCTCAGGCCAGCACTGTGGGCAACAGCCTCCCACCTGGCGACTCCTGCCAAGCTGCCCTCGGGGTTAGAGTCTTTTGTGTGGCTGCAAGGGAGCTAGAGCATAAAGGGGCGAGGAGGTCGGGAGCTATGAGGAAGCACAGGATGAAATGATAGCAATGACTATTGGGGCGGGAGGAGATGCTGCTTTGTACAGAGCAGGCAGGGAAGGCTGCACTTGTGGGAAACTGCAGGACGTTGGATTACCCAAAGGTATCCAGAAAAGCAGTATTTCCTTTCCACATGCTGTTCAGAGCCCTGCTACTCCCCTGTTAAGTGGTAGAGTCTGTGTTCCCTACTCCTAAACTTGGACAGGCCTTTGGCTTTCTCAACCAAGAGAGTACAACAGAAATGATGCTATGAGACTACCAAGACAAGGTCTTAAATTTGCTTTAATTTTTTTTCTTTTTGTGGTAGTGGGGATTTAACTCAAGGACCTTGCACTGAGCTACTTCCTAGCCCTTTTTATTTTTTATTTTTAGACCACTTCTCACTAAGTCATTAAGTTGCCTAGGCTAAACTGGAACTTGCAATCCTCCTGCCTCAGCCTCCCAGAATGCTGGATTGCAGGTGTGTGCACCACCATGCCAAGCTTTCAAAGCTAGATCATAGAAGGCAAGCTATCTCCTGTCTGACTCTTTTGGGACACTTTCCCAGGAATCCACATGCAGAACAATGAAAGCCCCCAGCTCCAACCCTGGCATAGCTCATAGACAGCTGTCAGCACCAACTTGCCTGCAAATCCTCATTTCTCTTATTTGCCCCCAGCTGATGCTACATGGACTAAAAAATTACCCCTCCCATCTATCCTGGCCCTAAAGATATATAGGAGAGCAAAACAATGACTGCTATTTTAAAGTCACTGAGTTTTGGTGCATTTCAATATGTGTGTTTTGGGCCGGGGATTTAGCTCAGTGGTTTCGCCGCTTGCCTTGCAAGCACAAGGACCCGAGTTCGATCCTGGTACCAAAAAAAAACTGCTCATGGTCAATATGTGTGTTTTGAGATAGAAGAATATCTGAGCAGAGGCCTAATTACCAAAGATCCAGGCATGAGGGGTTTTCATGGAGCATTTAAGCACTGCTAACAAGAAATGCCATGGCTCTAAGACAGGAACAAGCTTGGCATGCTGAAGGAAGTGACAAGGACACATAGCTCAGGGGAGCAGCAAGTCATGTGGCTGGGGAGCCAGCTGGGGTCACAGGATGTGGAGCCTCATGGGTAATGGTCAGAATTTTCAAATGTCTCCAAAATTCATAGGAGCCTTTAGAGCAGAGATGGCAAACCTTTTAGAGCTTTCAATGATAACAAACAGCCTGCTGCTGCATGCATGCCATAGATTTGCCACCACTGGTTTAGAGCATTAGGGACAGGGGAATAATTATATATGGCTTCATTTTTCTTTTTGTGAGGTGCTAGAGGTTGAGCCCAGAGCCTTTACACTGAGCTACATCCCCCTTAGACCTTCCTTATTTTTTGAGAAAGAGTCACACAAAGTCACTACATAAATTACCCAGGCTGGGCTTGAACTTGTGATCCTCCTGACTTAGCTTCCCAGGGTGCTAGCATTACAGGTGTGCACCACACCTGGCTGGTATTTGGCTTTATGTGTTTTGTTCTGTTTTGGTATATGACTTCTTTTTTTATTTTTATTTTTTTTTTCTTCTTTTGGTTTTTTGAGACAGGATCTCCCTATGTAGTTCAGGCTGGATTTTAACTCACTATGTAGCCCAGGCTAGCCTCAAACTCATGGTAATCCTACTGCCTCAGCCTCCCAAGTGCTGGGGTTGTAGGCATGCACCACCACACCCACCCTGTATTTGACTTCTTAAAAAATTGCTCTAGCTGCTGTGAGAATGGTCCATAGCACTGCAAGGATGGAAGCAAGGAGATTGGTTAGCAGCGGCCCAAGACAAACACAATTGTCACTAAGTGGTGGAGAAAGGAAGATGGAGTCCAAACATTCACAGTAGGCCTTGTTAGACAGAATGAGGGGTGAGAGATAAGGAAAAATATCGGCGAACTAGGTTTCTCTGAGAAGGCACATGAATGGCAGTGCTGTTGGCCAGCTGGGAAGGGCCTGGAGAGGAACAGGGGTAGAGAATCTTCCCCTCTCTCAAGATGCCCCATTTCCATGAGGTTATAGAAAGAATTCAAGCTGGCTATCTCTGCAGCCATTATAGTCAGATGCCTATAGTCAGAGCTATTGAATCTCGTAGGGGTGGAGATTCTGGTAAGTGCTTGGCTTCCCTGAGAGGTTCCTTTCCATGTATTTATTCACTTATACAGTTTTAAGGCCCTCTGTGCAGAGTGAAATTATAGTTATGATGGCAAAGATCCCAGCCGGAAGCTAAAACACACCCAGAGGAGGAAATTGAACTCAACATGTAGAAGACTCAGCGAAGCACTTTCCCCAAACCACACTCCATTAGCCAGTCTGGGGAAGAGGCCCAGGGTGGTGGAGAGGAAGGAACCATGCCAGGTGCTCCTGAAGGAATGGCTGCAGAGAGTCAGAAGAAAGAACTGAGAACTTCCAGCAGGCAAAAGAGCTATGGGGAGCAGCTGCCAGACTTCCTATGGAGGGGAGGTCTGGGATGGCCCAAGCAGAGAGGAAGCAGTCCTAGGCCACCCTGACATGCCTTCCTTACCGTTCCTGTCCAGCCCCCATTCCTAGAGCACAGCCAATCCACTCCATTCCCTTCCTCCATAGCATGCAGCCCCAGAGTTCAGATGGAAACTTTCTTCTTCCCTGTTCTGCAGGAAGGGTCACTCACCTGTCCCAGCTTCATGACAACCTCGTAGGTTGTGACATGTACTAACTCCCCATGATGAAGGTAATGCAAGCATGTACTAATAAAATAATAATTAAAAACAACGTCTCCTAGGCCTGGTCAGCAGACGGAAGCAGGACC